CCGAGTTCTCGTCCCAAAGCGATAACAATGCGATTCCTGTGGTATAGATGATCAAGGCACCCCAAATGAAGGGACGGTAGCGACCAGTCTTGCTGACTGCGATACCTCCACCGATGCCTCCGACCAACATTCCAGCCACCATTGGCAAGAGGTGAATTCCTGCCTTTGTCGCATTGTAGTGCTTAACCATTTGGAAGTAGAGTGGACAGTAGAAAATGGCACCCATGAATGCTCTAAAACGGAGAATGATCAGAAAGTCAATTTTGATCAGTGATCACACCGGGAAGAAGAACCTTCTTGGTTTCAGATGAGACATCACGACAATCAGCGAGATGCTTACCCTCCAACGAAGAAAGAGGTAGCATAGGCAGATGACACACTTCTGTTCCTGAACAGTCTGTAAGGCATGATTGGTTCGACGGCGACCTTGGCCTCTACATAGAGGAAGGCGAGCAAGAACAGGCCTCCGACGACATATGGAACAATGATCTGGACGCTGTTCCAAGCATACTCGTTACCGCCCCAGTTGGTCGAAAGGAGAACGCAAACGATACCAATCACGATGGTGAACGATCCAAGAAAGTCAACGCGCTTCAACTTATCCTGACGGGTGCCTTCAACGGCCGGGAGTCTAAGGATCCACATGATGATGGCTGTCCCGACAGCACCAAGAGGCAGGTTCAGGTAGAAGCCCCAGCGCCACGTAGACTTTTCAGCGAGTACGCCCCCGAGAAGCGGTCCAATCACTGACGACAGTCCAAACATCGACCCAATGATTCCTTGGTACTTTCTATAAATCCAATAGGAGATGTTAGTCGTGATACGCGATGCTCCATCCTTTGATCGTTCAAACGGGATCTTGTCTTGATGAAAAAGCTTACCCGCGATCGCGCATCGACACAACATCCGAGATAATAATCAGCGTCAAACTAATCATTCCGCCTGCACCAGATCCACTGAGCGCCCTCCTTTAAAAGTAAAAAAGAGCGAAGAAAAAAATATCAAAACCATTGAACACTTTAAACACGATAGAACATGCATGGGAAGGTACGAGCGTTGCAGAGATACTTCTTGAGAATACACAAGATGGCCCCATATCTCATATCTTACCCAAAGATGAGAACATTCATACTTGGAGCAGCACCACAGATTAAGGAACCGACAAGGAACAATAAGATCGCGGCGATAATGGTATTTTTCCTACAAAGGTGTAATATATGAATATGAGAATGAGTGTCACAGGGTTGTTTAGTTCCCAAGATGTAACTATTCTTTAGTACCTAGGAGACGTTATCTCCGATTCAGGGAAAGCTGCACCTCTTGCCAGCTTTTGTAACTTGAAAGGATGCTTACCTTCCAAAGATGTCGCTTAGCTTGCCATACAGAGGCTGGGTAGCTGTGTTAGTGAGAAGATAACTTGTACCAACCCATGCGATGTACTGAGGAGCATTGAATGCCTTTCCGAGCGCGGGGATAAGCACAGAAACGATTGTCTGGTCAAGGGAAGCCAGAAAGATAACTTGAAGGTGGCCAAAGAAAATGAGTTAGCGGAACGGCCTGAATTCCGTGTTCCTGAATGACAAGTACACGATAAGTTGAAGAAGGGTCGTCTTACCTATCATCAACCTACATGGTTATCGACAATGGGTGTAAGAAACGAAGTGGCGTCAGTTATTCGTTGTTCTTGAAAAGAAAAAAAAAATTAACGAAGGGATGCGTGTGAAGGGACTTACGCGACAAAGACAAAGACCAGTTCTTTACGGGGCAGGACACGACTCTGATCCACATATCCAGTAGGGAGGACCCCTTCATCTCCAATCTCTTCGACCTCTGCCTCTCCGTTCTCTTCGACCTCGCCGTCGACAGAAGTAGGGACTGAATCGATGCTATGGGGGTGTTCTACCTCGAGCTTGCCCTTCTCTGCTACTTGTAATGCATTCGTCGTATCTTCTGCCATTGTATCGTTTGTATGATGGTAATGGTCGAGGTGGGGTTATTAAAGTGGAGTCGTGAGGAATAGAGATGGGTCAACACGAATGAGGAGGGGTGGAATCTGAATGGAGAGGAATGAGTTGGAGGAGCAAGGGTGTGGGAAACGTGGAGAAGGAAAGGGAAGGATATGAAGGAAAGGACGAAGAGTGGGCGAGAGGAAAAGAATAGAGGCAGTTAGGAGAAGGGGGGGAAGATAGAGTGGTTGAGGTATCTCAGGGGTATTTATGCATGAGAGTGAACAAAGTTGTTGCATTCGGAGTGCGAACAGGCACTTGTTGCATGTTGATTATCCGCTCTTTCTCTCTCGCGTGGAATCCCTTGGAAGGAAGGGGAGGGAAGGAAGTGAGGATGTGAAGGAGGAAACAAAACAAAGGGGCTCATGACTGAAAGTTGCGGAAGTGAGAAATCGGGTAAGAGAGGAGAGGATGACATGATTCAGGATCAACAAAAACTGTCCCTCCTTCCCCTCCCATTTAGAATGGTTGAAAACAGCAAAAAAAATCTCCGGTGTCAGAAGAAGAAGAAGAGACCAAAAAAAAAAAAAAAAAAAAAAAAAAAAAAGAGAAAGAAATGGATGCCAAATTGGATTGAACACCCGCTCGACCCTAGTGTCACTTCTTTCTCTTTCTCTCTCTTTGATTTCTTCTCTTCAACGCAAAGCACTGTACTTTCATTGGCCGGCAATGGCAGGTGATTCATGTCGATAGCACCTCGAACTCAAGGAGAAAGGGAAAAGATCGACAGTAAGGTGACATCGATTTTTCGCTGCCTTTTTGCTTCTGGGCCTTAATCGGCTTTGGCTCGCTCAGGCTCTGTTTGTAGCAGGGATGAGTGAACAGATGGTAGCCTGTCGATATGCTGGTGTACTTGCATGCGTGTTTGCTTTGTTTGTTTTGTGTCCACAAAATAGAGTTGGCGCAAAATCTCAATCTCGCAATACAAAAAAGAAGCAAGGACAAAGCCGTTTTTTCAACTTTCTTTTCGCCCAACGTGCACTTGTGTGCAGACGAAAAGGAAAGAAACATGCAAACTGAGCGCTCTCGAGCCTCCTCTTTATAGTCATCATGGACCTATCCGACCGGCCCTACCTTTTACCCAGGATGTTATCCGCCATTCCTCCTCCCCTCGTTGTCCTCATTCTGCGAGGGCGATGGTTGGTTAATGCAATGCATCAGTTGACAACGGTGAACAGCTTGCCCCTTCGTTCTTTATCCATTTTCTTCCACATTCATTAATCAAGGAAGATGTGTCCATCTCCATGTGCATTGTCTTACTCTGCCACATTCCTCTATTTTTTCTTCTTTCTTGTAGTGTTGGACATGGCAAGCATGCCCCTTATGTAACGGTCCGTCTCCTTGTGCCTCATTGAGGGGAGTCCGTCCCGTCTATTGAAATGCATTTGGTCGCAGTTTGAATTTGCATTCCCCAGTTCTTATCAGATCCAAAAGTTCCACTTCTTATTTATTCCTCACCCACCCGACAGGGCTCAGAGGATGTTTCCAACGGAAGACTTGGCGATACAAACCCCGTTCCGAGATGCTATCAGCCTTCAAGTATCGCATGCAACAAAACAGTTTGCCATTGTCGGTGACAGATTGATGCTATTATCCTTGCCGAAAAAACTTGCGCCCATTCGATGCAACACTACAACGATGTCTTGTGTCTATCCTCGTCACCATCACCCCCCCTTGAATAACAGGGGGAAAAACACGGAAAAAGGTCGACACGACAGACCTTTTCTTTTAACCTCCCACTGCATTCTCTGGTTCCATTATTGGTTGTTCGTAAAGAACGCTCTTCTGAGGGGTTGGATGACACGCGTCAATCCTCTCTCACGTTTTCCTCGAAATGGAGTAGAAGAAATCAGAAATCCCTATCCCCTCCCGAAACCCAAACGTAGCGTAAAAGGGGGTTACGTACAGCTTCAGATGCTTCAACTTGGTGTTCGGTAGGACAATTTGCTTGACTTTCTTTTCTTTCTCACGCCTTCGAGCGTAGAAGACTAGTTGTCGTCAACAGAGCCTAGTATCAATGTTTTCATCTTATATCAACTTCAAGCGGGTCGGAAATCATGAATGTCGAATTGATACGAGGCTCGGTAATTCAAATGGGCAACGAAACGTTTCAGGCTGACTGACAAGACGCGGGGTAGAGAAGCACATGGACAAAGTCTTAAATGTTGATATTCGAGCTGCCAAGTGTCTGTTACTGCCAAAGGAAAGTAACTTTTTTTTAAACAGCATACCCCTCATTGTCCAAGAAAAAATTGAACCACCTCAAAAGCTTAAATTGGCGATCCACCAGTCCCTCGACCTTCCTCCCACAAATTCGATCTGGACGCGTCACGGCTGAAACAGAAAACTGATCGTCTTTACAAGCCACTTGAAAGACAGGTAAGTGTTGTTGTAAAGTCATGAATGGAGCCACGACTCCATATTGACTCGTTGTTTTTTATCCGTTGATAATGACCTTCGAAGGTGTGAAAAGGCTGGAATGAGTGGATCTGGACTGGGAAGCCTCAATGGAAACGGTTAACGGCATGGAGACATAGAGGACAATGTCTTTCCCAGGTGCACTCGAGGAAGAAATGGCGGGTCCCTGGATAAGCATGGCAATTCATGGATCTGAATCGAGGACTCAAAAGGGAGTTGTCAGTCAAAAGGGAGTTGTCAGTCAAAAGGCATTAGGGTTTGAATCCAGCACGAATTGTCTCCAAAGTCCAAGAGAGTGCACTTTGCGAACTTGTGGAGGACCGTCTTGGCGATGGACTGTGGGGTTCGGAACACCGCAGACTACTCAGTCAACATGCTTTTTGGGGGTGATGCCGCGGAGTAGTTCCAATACGTTCCACTTGGGGTTCTCGTCGCGATTGGGAATCACCGCACCGGCGTGTCTTAAACCGCGTATGGACGCCGCCTCTGTTGGAGACAGGGATTTTCTACGCCTCAGCCAGGGAGACTTGGGCATCAAAACAACTCCAGGCTATGAAAACACAACACCAGTACAAAGAAGAGGTGGCCGAGTGGTCCAAGGCGCCGCAACCGAAGAGCCATTCTATTCTATTGAGTCCTCTTGGATTCAAGAAGTGCGGTCTGTTCCAAGAACAGTCGTGGGTTCAAATCCCATCCTCTTCTTTTACCTCTTGTCTCTTGCGCCTTCGCTTTCTCTGTTGGCAACTTTTTAGTTTGTGCATGGTCTACGCCTCCAAAGGAGAGCACCATTTACGATTTCTTTGGATCAGCGCCACCAAAAAAAGATCGGTTGATTTTACATGGATTTAGGACGACTTTTTCTTACTTTCTTCCCATCCCTGATATCTCAAACGTGAGAACAAAGAAACTTCTTCTCTTAGCACCTTCAAGAAAGAAATGATTCGTCTTTTCCAATATGTTATAAATTGGAGATAATATGGGTGTAACGAGGCCGTGCTAAACCTATGTAAAGACGACTGGTGGAGAAGTTTAAGGTATAGAGGTGGGCTGTGGAATTGACTGAATGGACGCTTTGGGCTTTGATTCAACATGAGGAAGTCCAAGAAGAGCAGAAAAGAAAATGGTCTTGGTAAAAGGAAACTAGAGTTGGATGTTTAACATAGAACGAAGACAATAAAGAATGATCGATACCGTTCCTGCATTGCAGGGTCAAGCATGAATTGTCGTGTTTGTCCTTCTTCCCCTTGATTGGGCATTGTTGCATTTCTTTTTCATATGTGTAGGCCACAGCCTGCCCCTCAGCCCCCCCCGCCCTTGCATCTTTTTTAGAACAAAAAAAAACTTTTTTTTAGCGTGAATAATTTAGAGTGAACGACGACGACGATCATGCCGTCATTAGTGCTATTACGAGAGACCTTGGCTACTTTTTCTATTTTGTTCAAGACGGGTGAATGTTGACTGTGCAGGGAGGATCATCGACTTCTTGGCTTCTTGGCTCACTTTTACACTCGTTGCTCTTCCTTTTTTTTTATTCCCTTTCCCTTTTGTACTTTCTTATTCCAACTTCTTTCTCATTCCCTTTCTCTCTTGATTTCTTTTCATCACTTTCTCACTCATACATACATTTATTCATTCATTTATTCATTCATTCATTCCACTTCACTCTCTCTTTGAAGCAACTTACTCATTCAGCCCATTCACCTCTTACTCCTATACTCGACTCCACAAACCAGCGCGTACCACAAAGAAAACCTATTCACCATGTCTGGTATAGAAAACAAACACAACGGTCCAGCTACACACGGCCTCCTTTATCAAACAAAGACCCTTTTTATTAAAACAACTTATCCTCTCCCTCTCCTATAGAAACTCAATTGCAAGCACCGCTGCTAACGACAAGTCAGCAGCACTATGTCAAGAAATACCTCCTCACAGTCCTCATCAACAACGAACTCGCCCGCCTCCAAAAGGAACCCTACGAAACTCTGCCCAACCTCGGAGGACCCTTCGACCTCAAGGACGAACACGCCAATTCCACAACCCCCTTCCTCCGCTACCTCTTTGAATCCATTGTCGTCCCCTTTCCCTTTCTCACAAACAGTCGAGGTGCCCTTTGGCCGAAACTGCAACTGTTTTTGGACGAGTATGCCAAAATTGAGGCGGGAAATGGAGTTGAGCGGGAAGAGATGTTGAGGAGGAAACGTCTTCAGAATAAGGGCGAGAAGACACTGGTGCTTATGTACAGTATGGCGATCAAGACTGTTGAGCAACGTGCACAGGAGCAGCGGGACCTCGCTGTAAGGAAGGAGCGGTTACTGGCTGCCGAGCAGAAATTACATCAACGCCAGCAGGAGGAAGAGGAGCGACATGAACGCCACAGTAGTAGCAACAGCGACAGCTTCGATCAGCGTCTGGATAAGCTCGATTTGGACCAACAACAACAACAAGGCACGCCTAGATCCCGATCAGTATCGCCCTCTGCTTTCACGAGCACGATCCATGGAGTTCGTGTGAATGTGGTTGGCGTGCGGACGATCAAGGAAAAACGACATGTCCGAGAACACGAGCATGCCGTAAGCTATTCCCTTGGTTCTCTTTGGTGTTTTGTTTTCCCTCTCCCTCCCTCCCTCCATTTTTGTTTCCCCCTCCCCCTCTCCCTCCACCCCTCCATTTGTTCATAATTGCACACACGCAATGTTTTTTTGTGATGGGCTCCAAACAATTTTCCATTTCCTTATTTGAGACAGCGACAAATGGCCTAGCTGCTTCTTTCTTCCGTCATTGAGTTGTCAACCGGCAACAAACTACGCCATTATGCAAACATGTTCCGCTTCTCGGCTTACTAACCCTATTTACTTCTTCCTTTGTTCATCATGAATACAACAGGAGTTCATCATTGCAAGTGCCTTCGCTGACGGACAGGAGTATGTCGTCGCCCGACGCCACGGGCGATTCAGAAGACTCTATCACAATGTAAGCAGTCTTGGTCTAAAACGAAAGAACATTCGCAAGATCTCTGATTTGAAAAAATGGGAAGAGGGCAGAAGAAATTCGCCGGAAAACAGTTGACAAACCAACACGAAGTGACACCTCTCTCTTCATTTTGCCCGTTGGTTACGATAGTTGAGGCAAGAGTTCCCCAACTTGGAGATTCCAGTACCACCATCAAAGTACCCCGTCAAGTCTGGGTCGTCAGGCGTCAAGACGGCGCGGGAAAAGGATAGGATCAGCCTGCGAGGATACCTTCACAACATTGCCAAGGTCAGCCAGGAAGTTGTCGACTCTGCAGTGTTCATCAACTTCCTCTCCAAGGACGCCATTGCCCTTTCAGAGGAAGAGGCAAAAGATGTTCAGATGCGAGTCTCGTTGGATGAGCACAGGATGGAGCAACAGGCCAAGTTTGATAGGGAAGTGGCCAAGAAGGTCGACGAGCTGGATACGCAATTGAAGGAGGTCAAGCTGGATCTCTTGCAACCGGGTGGTGTCTCGCGACTCTTTAGTGCCTTCAAGCACATCGACAACGTCAACGACCTCCCGCCACTGTACCAGTCGGTCTTTGAGTGGGGTTGCATGTCCTTTGCGTCGACCCTTTACCATGTCTTGACATCCTCGGACGACGCGACCCTCAACTTAACACAGCTCAAGCGCACTCATTTCTTGTTGCCTTACAGGACTATGTGGGGCATTCTAAAGATTTCGAACCCTATGGCGATGATGAAGGGCATCATGGACCTCTTCCTTGCCCAACCCTTTGGCAGTCGTAGTCTCATGCAGCGAATCCTCTCAGGCAACATGCAAGAGGAGGTATCAGAGTACAAAAAAGAGATTGCCGAGGTCGAGGCAGCCATCGATGACCCCGCCCTCTGTGAAAAGATCCGCAACTATGTCTTTGCCCCCCGTGCCGTTGTCAGCAAGATCTTTCCCGAAGATGGTACTTTGACCTGTTGTTATTTACTTGGTTTGTTGGCTACTGAACTTTCGATATACTTGGTTCTTATTACTAACACTGCCTTTTGTTCGTTACTTTCGTAGAACCTTATGATATTACGGAGCTGGGTTTGGTGATGGATGTCCTTCGGTCGGAAGAGATCCTGCCCGTGTTACAGCCCTTGCAGATCAAACGAGTCTGGGATGCTCAGCAGGCTCTGGAACAGGATAAGATAGAAAAGGAGCGACTCAAGGCATTCAACAAACAGAACACTGACAACAGCGATGGGAGCGACAGCAGTGATTGGTCAAGCGAGAGCAACTCTTCTCGCAGCAGCCTGGACAGTAGTGCGGACGAAAAGTTCTTGGAAGTGCCACATACCCAACAGCAGCACCACAGCCATCACCATAACCACCATCATCACCACCACCACGACCAACAGCAGCAAGAGCACCAGCATCAGAGTCCCGAATCCAATTTGATCCGCCAACTCCAGCAACTTTTGGTGGCTAACCTTCGGATCCGCGAGAAAGAGCGACTCATGGAACTTGTCTTCCAGGGCGTCACGGGTGAGATCCTGAAGGAGATCATTTCAATCTTTTATCAACCCCTCGTCAAGGTTTACAAGTCTGCAAACGTTGCCGACAGTCTGATGGACGTCAAGTACTTTGTTGACGAACTTATCAAGGTCGTCGAGCAGGCCGAGAATGATGATGGTAACCCCTCATCTTTGTTTCCTGTGTTGTGGTCACTGGAGTTCAACATTAGTTCGCCTATTTTACTCTTCTCGTAAGCTAACCAAAATATGTGGTACTTACAATATAGGTCAAGGAGGAGCAAGCGGAAAGCCAACGGCCGCAACACTCTACCTAAACCTCGTCCGGAAACACCTCCCAAGCTTCTACAAGTTTGTCCACGCGGTCCACAAGCAAGACGACGGGATCTTCCACGACTTACTGGAATGGATCGAGAGCATCATCACCTTCATGCGCACAGGGTTCGGTCACGCACGGGTGGACTACAAAACTGGCGAGGAACTGCGAGTCGGGATTGACCTGGACGAGTTCGTCAAGAAGACCATTGACCCTTCACAGTGGGAGCAGATCCAGAAGGAGGCTGAGGCTTTGAGAGTGTATTTCGCAGAAATCAAGGACCGCAAACGGGAGGAGGTTCGACAGATGGCTGGACTTGACCGTGCCAGTAACGGTGTTAGTGGAGGAGATGATATGGAGAACGAGAAGGTTGAGAACGAGTTGAGGGGGTTGGGGATGCAGCAGGAGGATGTGGACGAATTGGAGATGATCAATTGGGAAGGTTCCAAGGTTGAGACTGGTAGTAGTAATGGTAGCCTGGAGGATGAAAGTGGGGAGTTTGGGTTGAAGGTGCCCCAGGCGCCGACGATTGATACATTGAAGGGTCCGTTTGTGAACCTCATGAACGACGTCCTCTTTCGCACCGCTAGAGAATAAGTTACGCTTTGTAATAATAAGTAAAGGCTCTGTCGTTCTTTTTGTCAGCAAGATTGTGAATGGGTTTGTTGGAATGTTGGGCAAGTCCTTCTGGGCTATGTGGAACATGGATGATGTTTAACGTGTGGATAGGAACGATGCGCCATTTTTCATTTTGAGGAACACGTTTTGCTTGGCTTACTCACAAAAAAAAAAAAAGGAACCACAATCATGCAATCATTCAGGTCACGCCATTGAAAGAAAGAAATGAAGGAGAAGCGCCACAGTCTTCGGTGCATCAATAAAATGCGAGGAGGAAGAAAAGA